TGGCTAGCTCTTACATATTGTTCTAACCCATTTCTAATATTCTGTGTAGCCCATGAGCTGGCTTACCAGAGAGGATCTTAACCTGCGTCTGTCTGGAGTGGGAGCATCATGGCGACTCTTCCTCTAACCTTCTTTCTCCCAGAATTCTCTTCTGTATCCTCCGCCTACCTAATTTTCTATCCAATAAAATGGGCCAAGGCAGTTTCTTTATTAGTAAGAAATCATTCCCACATCAATACATCACTAGAACAAGGACATCTTCAGGAAGAGGCAGACCATTAGTTGGTTTTCTTAACAAAAGGCTGACAAGTTTGCCTTCTGGTTCTGTCATCTGGTTTCAAACACTGTGTGAGCTGTCCAGGGTCCTTGAGGGAACCGCAGCATTGAAGATGAATGGGCTTTTGCAATACATGAAGAAAATCTCAGTTTTTTTTTCTAGTCGGATTGCTTTCTACTGAGATGTATCAGGGTGTCTAGAGAGCTCATAAGATTTTCTCGCTTTTAAACAGAATTTCCACCCAGAGCCCATCATAAACTGCATACTGAAGCCACAGCACAGGACTTTGGCTTTGGAGATAAGAGGTGATTCCAGCTCTGGTCTCCACTGTTACGACAAGGGCTTTCCATCTGCATTCCAAGGTCCTACATTTTAAAGGCACTTGGCATACATTGACTGCTAACGTTTACCGATTAGGTAACTGTAGGTAACATCTCACCCCTAGCTTGTCTTTCTGCTCTAGGAATAGAATAATTATAGGAGCAATTTGACCCCCTTCCTAAATAAACCATTGCAATACATACCAGGAATGGGTATTGAGAGTTGGAACATAAGACATGTTTGAATGGAGCATTCAAATTTGCTTTAATTATTTTGTGAACTAGAAATGACTGGCGGTAAAGTGTATCTCCCCAAAGTCCTCGTGTGCTGGGGTTGGTGCCCTGCTGGTGCCATTGTGTGGGGAGATGAGATCTGAGCAAGTCTGTGGGGCCATTTTCTAGGGTGTGTCTTGTCCCTGGCACTCCCCTGCCTGCTTCTCTGCTTCCTATGTTGCGAGTTCTGCCATGTCATCTTCACCATAGTGGACTGGTAACTCTGAAACCATGAGCCAAATTAAATCTGATTCCTGGGTTTTTCAGTTGGCATTTGGTCACAGCCACAATAAAGCTAACTAATCTAGAAAAAATATAGGAAAATTGCAAAATGTAAAATAATGTAGTCACTGTGGGAAAGTAGTGAGATCACTTTAAAATGTTTAAACTAGAACCTTCATATGATCAGCAAGCCCACTTCTGTGTATTTATCCATGTACACATCCCCCTAGGAGAATGGAAAGCAGGGTCTTGAAGTAGCCATGTCCATGACACCGCTCTTCAATGGCCAATAGAGGCTATCCATTTGCTATTTGGTGGGTGGCTAAAGTCATGAAATTGGTATATACACATACAAATGAACTTGTATTCTACCTTTTGACATAATACATGGACTAGTCTTGGAGACATTAGGCTAAGTAAATTAAACCAATTTCTAGAATAGACACAGCCAGGCATGCTAGAGGACACCTAAAATGCCAGCACTCGAGAATAGCTCTGTGTACACAGAGATGCATCCTTATGCGACATTCTACATTCTACAGATCTGCGACACAGCTTTGTGAGGGCGGCCAACACCTGTGAGTCACACACTTACACATTTTTTAAGATTAAAACCTTTGTAGTAAGCATTTTATACACAGCTTTTAAAAAGTACTCTTAATTGCCTGTACCCTTTCCCCATATCGTCCCTGGACAATGTTCAGGGTCAGAAGTGAGCATGCTGTAGTCTGCATGAAGTTTCAGCCCCTCCAGTTGAACATTCGTGCCCCTCATATAGAAAGGCATTTCATGGAGACCGTGTCATGTGACAGACAGTCTGTATCCTGCATGAATGTCTCAAATGGCAGTGCTAGGATACCCCTTCCTTTATTGCAAGCTCAACCCAAGCCAATGTGGCTGTTTCTGACTCTGTCTAGGAAAAGTAAGGAAACATCACAGATTTCCACATCAACCTCCATGATAAAATGACTTGAAAAAGGTTGGGTAGCAACTACCTTCAACCAGGTACAAAATATGGTCATATGGCTAGCTCTTAAATATGCCCAATGCTCGCTCTCTGTTGGCACAAGGCTCCAAAGAGAACCTTCTTAGACAGCAAATTTACTATCTACAGAGATCCAACAGGCAGCCTTGGTGAGAGTATGACTGTGTGAGGAGCCCAACTGGCACAGAGCACAAGCTTCATCTAAGGGGATACTACTGATGCTCCAGATCACTGTGCCAGCAGCAGAACTCAGGTCTAATTTTAGTTGTTTTCAAACCCCAGTCAGAGACCCAGATTTTTTGCAGGAAGTCTCCAAATTTTTAAATAGTAGGAATATTCAGAGGCACCAGTTGCTTTGGAAGACACGCCCATGGGCATAGTGATCCATGATGAAGTGGGCACTTGTTTTCACAGGGAAGGGAATTGAGATGACTTGGGGTACATGGTCTTCTGTGTTTCATGGTTTTGTGTTCACGCAAAGCAGAAGAACAGGAGGCTGGGCAACACACCATCTCAGGGTCTGTTCGGGAAGGACAGTGGTCACCAGGTGAAGAGAGCCTTGGAGAAAGATGAGAATGAGCGAGTATGAAATTGAACTTTAAGCAAAGGAGGCCACGGCGCTGTTTTCTCCTTTCAAAGTCAGCTCCTTGCAGAGCACTGGGAGAGTTTAAGAGCTAGCCATATGATATAACCTAGTGTCTGGTTTACATGTGAGTCACCTCAGAGTCTGATTCTGCTCACTGTTGTGTCACTTGGTGGCTGCTTGTTTGTTTGCTCTTATTTATGTCTGTCAGTTCTATTTATTGAATGCTGCACATTTGTAGATAAACACCAGAACCTGAGGAACTTGGCGATCACTCTCTGAAGCAGGCCTCCTCTTCTCTTGTCAGATCTGTAACAGGAAGTCAAGCCATCCTAGAGTAGTTGAGTCAGGTTGGGGTTTTATTGTCACAATCTTTACCTTCAGTGCTCTGTGGTCTTCAAATTCACCCAATGGTAGGATGTTGTTCCTCTGTGCTGAGCGTCAGTGGGTTTCCTCTGTACGCTTGGCTATCTGTGGTTCCTACACAATTCTCTACGCTCTTGTCTGTTCTTCACTAATAGGTTACTTTTAGGCAATTATTGTGGAAGTCAATGTCACTTTGTCCTCTGCTTCTGGGCCTTGAATAAGTAAGACCTCTTCTTTACACTCATCTTTAGAAAACCATGGGCAAGACAGGATCTTCTATCATTTCCTCACAAGCAGCAAGTATACATAATGTCTACAGGAGAGAGCTTATGCTCCCCATCTTGTGGGGGTTGAGGCTTCTCTGGTAATGATTAAAGGTAGGAGATTTCTATAGGTAGAAACACTCCACTGAGCTTCAAAGAATGAGTGGGTGAGGAGTGAACAATACAGGTAGGAGGCAGGGGCACCAGCTGTGAGGCAAGAGTTGAAGCGAGCATAAGAAAGGTAGAGGCCTGGCAGACTTTTAGCACTTACTGTGGGTGAGGTGCTATGCCATGTCGTGTGTGTGTGTGTGTGTGTGTGTGTGTGTGTGTGTGTGTAAGATTTTTATAATGCAGCCATTGTATATTGGAGACTTTATTCCAATTTGGAGATAAGAGACTAAGGCTCAAAGATCTCAAGCAAATTGTCAAGGATTCAAATGTAGGTCTCTTTTGATGGTAAAAATTCTGCTAGCATGTAGGTGTGTGTGAGTGCATGCGCATGGGGGCTAGAGGCAACCTTTCGGTGTCTTTTTATATCACTGTCTTCATCTTACATTCCAGAGAGATTGCTGACCAGCAAGCCCCTAGGATTTTCCCTCTGTTGACCCACTCATCCTCTGGACCACCACACCACACTTTTACATGGGTACCACAGATCTGAACTTGGATCTTCATTCTTATGCAGAAAGCACTTTATCCTCTGAGCCAACTCCCCAAACCCAAAACCTTGTACTCTTAAGCACGCTGCAGATAATATCACATACTGTGATCCAGGGATAGAGAGACATGGAGCGGGCCAGGCTTAAAGAGGTAAAGCAGGCAGATCCCTGGATGATTACAGAGGCTGTGCAACCAGAAAGATTCTCAAGTGTCTGACTTGAGCAAATAGGTCCAAGAAAAGACAGAAAGGTGGAGTCACTTTAAATTGTGTCGAGTTTAAATTTCCATGAACACCTTAGTATAAATGCCACAAGGCAAAGAGCAGAGTTACAAGACAAAAAGTCTCCAGTGACGCCTAGACTCTGTATCTGTCTTTATTAAGGGGAAAGCACTAATAAGATGCTCTTGATTACAGGCTCACCAGGACCCAAGGGGAGCCCTGGATTCCCTGGTATGCCAGGCCCTCCTGGACAGCCTGGCCCACGGGGCTCAATGGGACCTATGGGACCATCCCCTGACCTGTCTCACATTAAGCAAGGCCGGAGGGGCCCTGTGGTCAGTATCCTCTGCGATCCATGTAATACTGGGGGGAAACACGTTCTTGTCCTGTAATTTCCTTTTTAGTTAAATCAGATGCTGTGTCTTCTAGGGCCCACCGGGAGCACCAGGAAGACATGGCTCCAAGGTAGGTCTTAATAGCTACAGTTGTTTCTACCCCCTTGAGCATACAATGAAGCTCGGCAAACCCAATTTATCTTTGACAGCTGAAACACAGATATACAAGTTGAGAGTGGCAAGCCCCACAGTCTCGAATGCTGGAAAATCCTAAGCTGTTGGAGCATGTGCAGCACTGGGGGGAAATGAATTCCAGGCTGGGTGTGGTGACATAAGCCTCTCTGTGTAGTTACAACCACACTCGTGTGTCTTGGTAATCAGTGTGTTATAGAATGGCCTCCCTCGTTCAAGTGGCGAACCACACACATAGCTCCATTCTATGCTGGCTTCCCTCTTGCGAGCCGACAGCAGCGTGTGTGTCTTCCTTCAGCAAGACTGGTGTTTCACACACTGCCTAGAGAGGCAGGATTCCTTATCAGAGCTGCTTGGGAAATACACAGCCTTGTGAGAACTCAGGAGTTGAGCTACTCCGCCTAAACTTGCCAGTTCTAATAAGAGGTCCCCTTATTTCCTGCAGGAGGACGGTTGTGGGTGGTGGATGTCTAGCCAGAGACAGCAGTGCTCAAGAATGCTAACCCTCACCTTTCTGTTCTAGGGGGAGAGGGGAGCACCTGGGCCTCCAGGGTCTCCGGTAAGTTGCCCCGTCTGTCCTGCTTATCCAGTGGGGATGCTATTGTGGGTGTGGCACTCATAGAATGGCAGACTGGTGAGATGGCCCGGTGGGTAAAGGCACTGGTCATCAAGCCTGATGACCTGAGTTCAATTTCCAGGACCCAAACGTTAGAAGAGAACTGACTGCCACAAATGTCCTCTGACCTCCATAGGCCTAATATACATATCCCCACACAAGTAAATAATGTTTAAACACTTTTTAAAAATATATGTGTAGGCCAAAGTTTCTGTCCCACCAGCCAGTTCCCAACTAACCACACAGAGACTCATTATTATTTGTAAATACTCTTCGTTAGTTTAGACTTGTTACTAAATAGCTCTTACAACTTGAATTAGCCCATTTCTATTAATGTATGTGCCGTCATGTGCCTCATGGCTTGTTGCATTCTCTACATGTTCTGTTCACTCTGTGTCTGGCTGGTGACAGCATCCTTCTTCTTCCCAGCATTTGCCCAGTCTCCTGCCTCACCTCTTTTTGCCTAGCTATTGGCCAGTTGGCTCTTAACACATCTTCACAGTGTACAAAAGGATTATTTCACAGCATATGAGAGCAGCTCTTAGTAGCAGAAGCTCGCCCTCCTTGGCTGTCACTCAGGCAATCGGATCTGTGGTCAGGAGGAAAGTTGTAGATACTTTAAGCAGCTGGTTTGAATTTTTAAAATTTGTTTCCTGAAAGTTACTTTTTGTTTGATCTTGATAATCTGTATGTGAAATATTGCTTCTGATGTCACCATGCCAGGGACCCATTTCCAAGTGCCATCAGAAGATGTCTGAAAGAAGGGCTAAGGAGACAGCTTAGTCCGCATAGAACATGACATGCAGGCAAGGAAGCCTGAGTTCAGTCCCTTGAGTACACGTGAGAAAGCCAATGTTAGTAGAGTGCACTTGTAATCTGACTCTGAGGTGGCAGAGATGGAGGGATCCCGGGGACTTGCTGGCCAGCCAGCCTAACAGAATCAGCATTTCCAGGCTAGTAATACATCCTTTTTCAAAAAAAATAAACAAAAACCCAAAGTGGACAATGTCTGAGGAATGTCAACCAAGTTGACTTCTGGGCTCATACACACCTGTACGCATGCACCTATACATACACACAGTAATTTAGTTACTTTTTCATTGCTATACTAAAACACTATGATCAAGGCAACTTATAAAAGAAAATATTGACTTAAGATTGCACAAGGGTTAGAGTCCCTGTGCATCATGGTGGGGAGCACGGGGGGGGGGGGCAGGCAGACAGGTATGGCACAGAAGGAGTGGCTGAGGACTTACATCTTGATTCAGAAGCGTGAGGCAGAGAACTGATTGGGAACAATATGTGCCTTTTAAACCTCAAAGCCTGCCCCCAGAGATACACCTCCCCCAGCAAGGCCACACTTAATCCTTCCCAAATAGTTCTACCAGTTGGGAACCAAGGTTCAAATGTATGACTCTATGGGAGAGGTCCTTCTCATTTAAACTGCCCCATTCCACTCCCTAACACCAGTAGGCTTGTGGCCACTGTATAGTAATACAGAATGTAGTTAGTGCAACTTCAGAAGTCCCCGGAGTCTTTCATAGTCTTAACATAATTCAAAAGTTCAGAGATTTCTTAGACTCAAGATCACCTCTTATTTGCAAGCCCCTGTAAAAATTACATGTTTACAACATACATACAATGTCACAGAATACACATTACCATCCTAAAAAAAGGAGGAATGGGTGCATAATGGGGAAATACTGGACCAAAGCAGGATGGACATCCAGCAAAGCACACACAAAACCCTGCAGCTCGGTGTCTGATGTCGAAGGGCTTAGACGGCTCTGCCCTTCCAGTTTTGTTGACTACTCTCAGGCTGGTTCCTCTCCCTGGTAGGCACCCCACAGCTTTGGTACCTCCAACATCCTGTAGTTTCCAGCAAAATCCAGGCTTCATTTTCATAGCTTTAGACGATGGCCTCTCAGGGCCTCCATGCAGGGACTTCCCAGCCACACATTTGGCCTGAGCAACTCCACTTAACTGTGGAGGAAGACTCCACAATCCCTTTACTCCTATGTCCTTCCCAACTCTAAAACCAAAACCACATGGCGGATTCTGCCAAGTTCACCTGACTGGGATGGAGCTGGCTCCCTCAGTGAATTACATTCGCATAAACTCTTTCCTGTCGCTCTTTAGGGACAACCAATTCTTTAGGCCTTTTCTTTCACAAATGAAAGGATTACCTGGATGAGGTCTTGCCAAGAACCTTACTCCCTTTATCCATTTTGTTCCAGGTCTTTTCTATCTCTTTTCATCTAAAACCTTGGTTCCAATGTTAAATTTCCTGATGTTCTTTTTCTTTTCTAAGTGTACACTTTACATTTCTTTTTTGCTCTGCTTGCTCATTTTCACTATAGAAACTCCCACAAAAATGATTACTAATAACCTTGCAACAGAGTCAATAGCAGGCTGCCTTGAAATCTCCTTTGACAAAGAAATTAATCCATTATTTTTCAGGTTTTGCCTCAAGCAAGTTTTTAGAACAAAGGCAGAAAGCAGCCACATTCTTTGCTGAAATACCAAAATAATGGCCAGCTAACACTGTTCCTCTCTGAAACCACTTGGGCACTGCCTTCCAGGCTCCTACTAGAATGTTCCTTTAAACTCTCCACTTATGTTGTTCAACTACTTTCCTAATCCAACGTCCCAAAATCTTCTCACATTTCTCAAAAAAAAAAATAATACTTACAAAAGAAAGTATTTAATTGGCTTACAATTTCAGAGGATTCAATCCATGATCACCATGGTGGGGAGCATGGCAGGCAGGTGCTGGGAAAGTAGCTGAGAGTTTACATAACACAAGGCAGAGGGATAACCCTTGTGGGCTTTTCAAGCCTCCATGCTTGCCCCTACTAACTCATACCCTCTAATAATACCGCACCCCATAACCCTCCTCAAGCAGTTCCACCAACTGAGAACCAAGTATTCAAACATGAGTCTATGAGTGCCATTCTCATTCAAACCAACACACACACACACACGGACCAGAATAGAAATGCCTATGTTGTCATAACCCAGAACACTTGTGCTATGCCCACTCTTTCCGATAAAAATAAAAAAGCAAAAAGGCTCCCTGCGCTTAAGAAATTTGCCATGTGTATGTACAATATCCACGAGATTAATAAATGAGCAGGAATATGAAAATGCAAGCAAGTCTGTTACTTATAGAGGAGCAGGTGCGTGTTCTGAAGAAGGACCAAGAGGCCTTGGTTGCCACCTCAGCTCTTGCCCCTATTAGCTTTGTGAACTCAGGCTTTTACCTGACATCTCTGGACATTGGCTCCTCATCAACACAGAGGGATCTAATTTGTCACACCCCCTGTAGGTGTGTGGTGAGGGTCAGAGGATAGCAGAATGTTGCATCTAAATGTGTCAAGGTGTCTCTTGCAGCTTCTAAGGTAGAAGTTGCTGAGTGGCATCTATCTTAAATGTCGATAATGATTTTACCTTTCAACTTCTAATGTACTCAGAACATGCATGCTTAAATGCTTTTGGTTTTTCTTTGCACCATGTTCTACTACGGCACTGCATAAAAATTAAAGCTTACCCGATATTATACATGATGAAGAATATCTACTAATAGAATAGGGAAGGTTCGAATTGGATCTTTCTAGACAAATAAGGAACAACATACTCCCAGCTTAATTTAGCCCCTCCTCTTATAAACATATTAACTTGATTTTTTAAAGAACAGAAAACATTTTGAACTCTTCGTTCTCTCTCAGCCCTCTGCATTCTTCCCATGTCCACCTCTGAGCCCGCTGGAAACCTGTGGTGCTGAGTCTGCATTTTACAGGAGGGACAAGCTTAAAGAAATCAGGTCATTTGCCACGGCCACATAGCTTGGAAGAGGTTGGTTCAAATCCAGCAGAATCTTAACCTCTTCTTGAGCACCACTCTGACTTCCAGATTTCTTTGGAAACTCCCCCGAGAAAGGAGAGGTGACTGTGTGCATCACCAGGGTTCATGTGTGAGAAGAATGTGTTTTCATGACTGGAAAACAATCCTAAGGCCCCCCGGCTGCTCATGTAGTCCTTAGGTCTACCCTATGTAGGATACAGAGATGGTTTAGCAGCTAGTCACCCACAGGCCACAGACTTACAGGCAGCAAAACTCGGCAGGGTGCTGCTTTGACAAGTAGCTATAACTTCACAGCTTTGATTCCTCCCGTGTGCACAGGGACCCCCGGGTTCTTTCGACTTCCTGCTGCTTGTGCTGGCTGACATCCGAAACGACATCACCGAGCTGCAGGAGAAGGTGTTCGGACACCGGACTCACTCTTCAGCAGAGGACACCCCCCTACCTCAGGAATTTTCCAGCTACCCGGAGACCCTGGACTTTGGCTCTGGGGATGACTACCCCAGAAGAACTGAAGCAAGAGGCTCCGAGGCCCCCAGAAACGTTTATCCATAGCACAGTCCGTCTTCATATCACCAGGAGAAAAGCATGGCTTTGTCCAGTCATAGCGTCTGGAGAAAGTTACCACTGGAGGCCTAAAGCCCTTGGGCTGTCTTCCTGCCCTCTCTTTTTAGTCTGCTTCCCAAGTGTCCTGCACGTCCCACCAGCAACAGGACATGATGGTTCTTGAAGAGCTGCTGGGTGGCTTAACAGCCTAGTTTTTCTGGAGCTTCTGAATTTCTAAATTCATTGTTCCCACAGACAGAGTTCCAAAAGGGAGAAAATGGCAAAGTGCGCTCTTAGAGGTGTAATAAGGCCCATTCTAAAAGCAAGTTATGTTCAAAATACTTGGCTATTCACCCTCTGCTGTCGGGAGTATGGCTCTTCAGTTGAGGGGAGGATGAAGAAGGAGCACAAAGTAGATTGATGTTGGTTAAAAAAAAATGACTTTTCCTTAGCAACATCACAGATTTCAAATTCTGAATCCTATTTTTCGGTCTTTTTTAAAATATATGTATATTTCTGTAACCAATACAGAAACAAAAGAATAGAAAAGAAGTACAAAATGTACTGGTGGCCAGAGGTGCCATCAGGTCCTGATTCTGGCTAAATCAAGGCTGGAGGGAAGTTGCTGGCCTGGAATCTCGGCAGAGGGTGACGGAGAGGCATTGAAGAAGGGCTTCACTAAAGCTAGGTCACCAGAGGCGGGTTAATCTGCTCTTAAGATATCTGGAGTCCTCATCCAGAGTCGGCTAAGTGGTGCCCTGGGAATAACACACAGCTGAGAGGTCTCTTAGATAGAGGAGGGCAAGGAATTCTATCCAATCTGGCATAATTTCCCACCATTTTCTCCCGATTTAGTTAACATTCCTGATCTAGATCTCCTTGACTCTCTCCTGGACCAGGTGGAGATGGCTCGGGGAGAAGCACATTCCCCGTGTCTCCCTGAGTCCTTTCTAGAGCACTTCTAGATCCCCAGGGAAACGTGTTCCCAGAAAGGAGCAAGGGGCCAGGTTCTTTCGTGTCTTTGGGTTCTCTTGAGCTACCCAAGGGATCTTGTTCACATGGTTACCTCTGTTTGCTACCCTCAGTGTCCCCTTTATTTCTAAGAAGTTTCCCTTTAGCTTTTCCCCATAGCCTTTGAGCCCCATCTTCTCCCCACCCCTATGTGACAACTGGTCGGGAGAAAACTGCTATTGGGGTTTGCATGACCCTGCACTGTCCGTTCTTCTTCCGGAGAAGGGGATCTGTCGACAGAGGCCAGGTGGCCCAATGGGCTTTCGCTTCCCCTCCCATCCCTCTCTTCTCTCTCTTCCTCTCCCTTTCCTCCTTCCTTCAGTCCCTTTACTTCTCTTGCTTTCTTCCCTCCCTCCATCCCTGCTCGCCTGCTGACCCCCTTCCCACCCACTCATGCCAGATCCCCAGTGGCTGTCCACCATCAGGTCATGGTTAAGGCAAACACACACTTGCACAGCTTGCTTGCTGTCTCTTCCTCCTCCCCCCTCCGTCTCTCCAGAACCTGAGGCCCACCCCCAGATGGCCTTGTCAACCGTGGGTTCCTGGGGAGATAGATGCACCCACAGTCAAGTCCCACCTGGACTCTATTTAATGCTTGCCTGCTTATAGAACCCAGAGTTTAAAGGGTGTGGATGGATGGAGTCTCAAAACTATGCAAGGCTCTATGAGCAATGATTATGTCCATCCTTTTTATGAGGAATTTTATAACCTCTGTTTTTTCTAGACAGTGAAATGTGTGTAGAAACATAATCTTTATTGCTGAATGCTGGTAAAATACAAGCACACTCCACGCTGGGCCAGAGGCCAGGATAATGTACTAAAAGAATGAAGTGCAAGTCATAATAGCTGGGATTCATGAGTCTCTCCTAGATAATTCTCTCCAGTAAAACACACAAGAGCCTGTATTTGGTAACCTCAATCTGCTGGACCATGTCAGTTTAGGTAATCATTACTCCTCAGATTTTCAAAACTTGGACTACTAACTATAAGACCAAAGTATGTCCTCTACTTGTCAAGATCATTGGGAATTTTTAGTGAAAAAGCATTATTGCTTATGTAGCTTTTGGATAGAAAAAAAATCAAAGCTTTACTATCTAAGCAAACTTCTGCTCAAAATACCATGGGAAGACCTTTGGGAGGAAAGACAGTACAAAACAGATTTACTGAATCACTTCATATCTCATGACAAAAAAAGTTTTGTTTTTTAATACCTCCATCAACCCTTTGGTAGAATTGTTCAATTTTTCTAATATCCCCACAAGTAAGACTTAGCAATAAATTGCCTCTGTGTTATAAAGAATTGAGAATAAAAACTCACTGAAAAAATATAAGGAAGACATGCATTTTAGTTCAGAAAAACTATTCTCCCTTCCCAGTTCCCAAGGGAAAATTAGCTTTCCTGTGCCCCAAAAAAAAGTTATTAGGAGCCAGATGCTGTGGTATACACCTGTAACCCTGGCACCTGAGAAGTGGTAATGGGCAGGTCAGGAGTTCAAAATCAGCCTCAGCTACATAACAAGTTCAAGGTCAGTCTGGGCTATACAAGAGCCTTTCTCAAAATAATAATAATGATAATATAATAATGAGTAGGGTACTGGAGAAATGACTTAGCAGTTAACGATGCTTGCTGCTCTTCCAGAGGGCCAGAAGTCAAGTTCCAGCTCCTGCATCAGGCAGCTCACAAACTTCTATAACCCCAGTTCCAGGTGACCTACTACTGCCCTCTCCTGGCCTCTGTGGCATCTGCACTCACATGCACAAATATACACATAGATACACACAGAGATAATGTAAAAGTCTTTTTTTTTAAGGAGTGGGTAACAAAGGGGATATTGGCTTTTCTTGTTTTCTATGTTACTCTCCAATACTTGCTACAGAATTAACTAAAGTCATATTTCTGTGTAGAATCCATCATCTAAGAGGTAAATAATAAGTGTTTATTGACCTTCGAGGGAAAGGAATATAACCTCACCCAAAGACCAGGTGTAGAGCACCCAGCTAGGTCCAGATAGGTCATGTCCTCTTTCCAAGGTTCTGAACAGCCTTGGCCTTGGGACAGATCTTCAAGACCAGCCATCATATTTTATCTTGGGGGTCTCAGGAAGCAACTCCCTATCTTATTTTGAACATCATTTCCCTCCTTTTCCCTTATCCCGGCTGCCTCACAGAGTCAGCCTTGGCCACCAACTCCCACAAGCCGCAAAGTGATCTGCCAGACAGCTTTTCTGAAGGGGAAAGTTATTTGCTGGAATCTGAGCCAAACAATTAGTAGAATAGAGCTGCCTAAAGTTATCCGTCATGTATTCATGGAAACGGATGCATTGTTTCCCAACACAGCAATCACATGTGTTCACAGCATTTCACAGATAATTTTCTATTGGGCTACGAAGACAAGGGCTGCAAATGTTAAAGATGAAATGACATGCTTTATATACTTCTGCAAATGTTATGGTCAGAGAGAAACCATGAAAAGGGCGATTGGGCTACACACCCCTCACGAAGCTCAGCACGTTTTGTCAGATTCCCAGAGGTTGGTCCCTGAGGGGTTTGTGGGTCCGTTTTTACTTCCCAGTGACTGGTCATATACTTCAGTATCTTTATCCATTATTTATATCAGATATATATATCAGTCAAATTGATATTCCAATACTCATGGATGTAATACTATGAAGTGCTTTTGTATGACTGTATATGCTTAATAACAAAGTTATTTTTCTTACGTGGGTCTCCTGTGTTTTGTTCTGGTATAAAGAGCCATCCCCTGGCCAACTAAATATAGTGCATCCATTACTTTCTTGTTGTTTGTCAAAATATCTATATGAAACAAGAAATTTAAGGAAGGTTTTTTGTTTTGTTTTGTTTGTGTTTCAGTTTTTGTTGTTGTTATTGTTGTTTGGTTTTGTTTTCTGTTTATGGTTTGAGGCACACTTCACCATGGTGGGGAAGTCATGACTGCACGGTGTCATGGTAGCTGATGACATTGTAGTTTCTCTCAGGAAGCAGAGACACATGCTTCTTTGTTGAGTTTTGGCCTCTCTGAGAACTAAGTACCTATCTATCTGTCTCCTTTCTACACTAAGGGAACCTGGAGGGCTGAGGAGACTGGTTGGTTGGTAAAATGTTTGCCACACAAGCATGAGCACTTGCATTCAGTAGCACCCACGTAGAAAGCCAGGTGCTATAGTAAGTGTCTGTAATCCTAGCACTGTGGAGGCAGGGACAGGGGAGCACTTGGGGCTTGTTCCGGGTTCAATGAGAGACCCTGTTTCCAAAAATTATGTGGGAAATGATTGAGGAAGACACCCTTTATTGACCTTTGGCTTCCATTTGCATGCATGTACACATCCATACCGATATGTGTAACACACACACACACACAGCCATCAGAAACAAGAACTTTTTTTTCTCTATTGTGCATCTGCACAGTTCTCCAGCATACAGAAAGAGCTGAATAGAGTAGATTTAACTAAAGCTTACTCTTCAGGAAACCCTAAAGCATGGGCCTTTATGATGCCACACACACTTCCTGAGAAGTTATCTTGTCAAATACCACAAAGCTAAAACCATCTTTCATAAAGGTATATTTCAGAACATACAAGAATCTCTGTGTTTGTTGATTGTGTAAACATAGCACAATCATACACACATGTTTCCCCACTTGGGAATCACATAAAAGGCCTCCATGGTGCAAAGAAGGTGTGTCAACAAGACGGCACAGGGCCCTTGCTTCCCAATGATACTCTGCACTAGGTGCTGCGACTGACAAATACATAGGTAACGCTGTTTAGGCTGTCTTCAGTGGCAAAGGGAAAAAAACTAGCAAAGCTAATACAGTTCATCCCCAAAGATAACTTGGAGTCAAGACTTGAAAAGGAAAAGCAGAATAGATTTAACAAATGTTCTAATCCAAGGAACACACACAATGGTTTGGGATAGTTTTTAAGTCAATTCCTTATTAATAGCCATTACTGGCCTATTTCACTTTGAGCTGTGTGCAAATGGTGGGGACTCGGGGGTGTGTTCTGATTCTGTCTCTGCACAGGGCTCTTACTGAATAGATAGGGCTCTGGTGGGTCTTGATGACAGGGTAAAGCACAGAGGCCTTGAGAAATGGTCAGATGATAACTTCAGTGGTTTTCAAAGGCTTCTTAGCATGACCAACCGAGAAAGTATGGTTTACACAATATGCCAATGCATGCTCTTGTATACCACTGAAGCAAACATTCTGCAATGTTTACTTTCACCATTATTCTCATGCTCTCCATATGATAGTTTTTAATTTGGATCACACCCTTGAGTTGTCCTCACAACTTACTGATGGGTTATAACTTAAAGACCACTTGACTCAGTCAGCCCCCTCAAACTCAGCGGTACACACTAATCAGTTGCAGGCCTTTGTAAAGATGAAGACTGACCCAAAGGGTTTGAGGTTTGCATTCTTGCAAGCTCCCAAGGGATGCGATGTGTTCATGAAATGAGCTCGAGGTAGCAAAGACTCTTCTCTCCCAGGAATGCGGGTTCTGAATCGCACACAGCAGGGCAGAACAAGATGAATTCACAACTCTGCTGGGAGCTCACATATGGCTGGAATATCAGGATTGCTCAAGTCCCTTCTATCACTTTCAAAAATTATGGGATTAGCCCCATGTCCGTGGATTCAACTGAGGACCTAAAATAGTGGGGGAAACATTTTATGTCTGAACTGAATATGTGCAGCCTTTCTTCCTGCCCTCTCTAAGCAGTGAGTTACTTCCATAGCGTTTCACTGTAAATAAGTCATCTAGAGATAAAGTCTATGGGTGAATGTACACCACTTTTAAAGCTTATTTTCACACACACACACACACACATACACACACACACATACATATAATGTATATGCATGTGCATCTAGGTGGCTGTATGCCATGTATGTTCAGTGCCCTCAGAGGCCAGAAGAAGTGTCAAATCACCTAGCATAGGTCCTGAGAACCAAACTCAGGTCCTCTGGAAGAGCTGAAATACCTCTCCAGCCTCAAAGAACTGCTTTCTTTTATAAAGCACCTGAAAATCCACAGAATCTTGGAGCCAAAAAAGGAGGTTGTTAGGGCCAATCCCTTGAGGAATCCCTAGAAACTGGAACATCTTAAGAGACCAAGAATTAGAACTTCTCTGGTAGGCTGACATGGTGGTACACACCTTTAATCCCAGCACTTGAGAGGCAGGCAGGTCTGTAAGTTCAAGACCGGCCTGAGCTACATAGTTCCAAGACAGCCAGGGCTACAATGAGAAACCATCTCAAAAAAAAAAAATTAAAAGAAAAGGGTGGAAAAGAAAAAATAACAGAGCTTCTCCAGTAACATATATATATATATATATATATACACATATACATATATATATATATATATAAAGTTATAGCAGCCAAGTGAAAGACAGTGTCCCTATGAGGGAGGTGGAAAGATAGCAAACATAACCCTTGTCCTATTAATTGACTCTCACCAACCTGGACCCTGGCCTTGCCACAGCCACTAGTATTTGGAGGCTGGCTCAGAGTTAAAAGGGCCATAACAAAGTCCACAGAGCAAGTTGACCCTAATAATCTGAATTTGCCTGTACCTGCATGACGTCAATTACCCCAGCTTCCCCTGGTGACTTAAGTTCCTGATTCTGCTCCATCTCAGGCCTAGGTGACTACTTAGGTTCCAAGGTTAACCCTGCCCCAGTGTCCTCTGCTGCTTTTGGTCCTTTTCTGCCTCTAACATCCCTACAGAATCCCTGGGAAAGGGAGCCAGTGAGAAAACAATGAAGTCGGAAGGAAGTTGGTATCTGCAGGCCCTGCAGGGTCATATTTTGCTATCACTTTTGTGATGTTTGGGGATGGTTTTTAAACTATAGTTGTGAATGCCCCTGACTCTGGCACCCCAGCAGTGACATAGCAGCCCGGAGCACCTACCCTGGGTCATCTTAGAGGTTGCTGTGACCTTTCCAAGTGAGTCTTCTGCAGAGAATGTGCAGCCTTCTGCCTCGTGCCATGTGACTTAAAAACCACGTCATGTGGAAGAAATACTCTCTCCCATGTATTGACAGGATCATTCATCGACAATTTAGTAAAAACTCAGCCCAAACCAGCTAATCACATACATTAAACGCAGAGAGCCATCTGTGGACAATTTGCCTTCTGGAAAAGAAAAAGGTGCCACAAATTGAATTAGGCACCGATTATTCGGGAAGGAAACAACAGCTGGATAATATTTTGAAAAGTGATTCTTTCAAAGTAGTCTTCCAGGGCACCAGGCAAACACATTTCTTCTTCCAAGTTTCCTTCTATTAACACTGCTGACTCTGAGTCCCAAGTCTACCCGTCAGATTGATAAGAGTTGTGTCTACAAACATCTCCATTAACATGGGATGAAAATCTTTGATATGATTTGATCTGGGTATTCCAAATACATGAAACTGGGCCCCTGCAACACACAGGAACTATTTCAGTAGAAATACGTCTGGGTTCTGGGTCAACACTGTACTTTCTCTTAGCTCTATGGAGGAATCGATGACTTGGTCTGCACCTACATCGTCACTGACTTACCCTGTGGTCATTACACTTGAAGCTGCATGCCAGTGACTGGGCCATCGTCAGAGGGAACCAGATGCCCCTGCTCCTGCTTTCTCTCCTGCACTAAGTATGAGCTTGCTTGCAGGCTCAGTAAAATCCAAAAGGCCTGTTCAGGAAACGGAACTGCCAGGTTGAAACCAAATTCTGTTGTAGTCCCAAAGCAGGGAACAAAACCCACCAGGAAGCCCCGAATTCTAAAGTGAAGTTCAGAGGACAGGTGAGGAGCTGCTGAACGAACAGCTTCTATGCAGAGTGTTCTCTCTCTCTCTCTCTCCTCTCTCCCTTCCTCCCTTCTTTCCTCCCCATTCAACCACAGACTGAAGGAAGACCATGGAGACAGCCAGAGAGAGAGCAGAGTATCTTGATGACAGTGAGTTCTTACCAGTTAGTCCCTACCCATCCCCATAGCTAAGAGGAAGGGGGCCAAAGGGTCTTTGTCATTGCAAGGTATCAGGTACCCTTGCTGGGCAGGTGTTGAGCTGCAGAATTCACAGGTCCCTGCTGTGTGTTTCCAGAGCAAGGCTGGGCATGAAGATTCCCAGAAGGAGAGAATAGTCTGTGAATCTGATTGGTTGTCCTTTTAAGGATGGAGAAGTGTGGTAGGCAGAGGGGCCTGCAAGAGGTGACATACTTGTATATAGAGACTAATGCTTACTCCTGTGAGAGCAGTCCCTGGGACTATAGGTGATGGCCTGGCTGTGAACAAGGGGACCTTCCTGTCTGTGAAAGGACACAGAGGTAAGTGGAGAGCAAGTCCAGCATGGGGTATCTGCCACCTTCCTCTGAGGCATCAGCAAAGCTGGCCCTCTAACTCCTACCACGTGCCTGCCCTCTGGGAAATTGAATTAGCAGAGGCAGAGGAGTGAAGACATCAGAACCAGACCCCGACTCCCTTCCCACAGCTCTGGCACCCTTGGAACGGGGAGCAGTGACAAGCTGAGGGTCCAGCCAAGTGCAAGGTTCAAGGTTTTCAGATTACAGAAGTGAACTAACAGAAAGGTAACAAGGTAGAAAGGAGTATGAAAGGATTCAGAAACCGAAACGAGAGAGGGCTTCCAACACAGCTAAGCCTCAGTTTTTGTCCCCAGTTGGACTTTTGAAGAAACCAACTAGAAATAAAGACA